ATAATTCTCTGTAGAGAGAGGAGGTCTGACAATGCTCGCAGTAAACGGCCGAGCTCTAGGAGCGAAGGCCTCAGCATGACGACTCCCAAAACGAGAGGAGGCCTAACTACACCCCATGCTCGGGACATCCTGTAAGGAGGTAAAGAGTTACTAGTTAACTTGACAAACCTATTCTGGTTAAGAGCAACTGGGGTCTAACACAGATAGAAAGGTCACAAAGCACTTGGCGCATGGCCTTACCATAAGCATGGATTCAGGAAAAGCAGGAAGCAGTCACAGCATGCTCTTACCATAAACATGAATTTTAGAGAAGGCACAAAGCAACAGCACGTGCTCTTACCATAAACATGGATTTTAGAAAAGGCATTTACAAAGGAGACTCACAGAGAGCCTACAACTGGCAATAGCTATCCTAGCAGAGCTCTATGGAGCAAAAGCCTCAATAAAGATAACCCTCTAAAGCAGGAGGAGGTCTAACAATGCTTGCAGAAGACAAGGAGGCTCACAGAGAGCCTAACAACTTAGGGCACTACCTAACTACAGCACTTTTCTGTCTCTAATTCATCAGAAATAGACACATAAAGAACAATTGTGTTATTTGAGTCAACAAGAGGAGCCAAGAAAACGAAAATGTCCTGTATGACTCATCCATGCTCTGCCTACAAACCCTGCGCTTAACCCTCAAGAGACTCAAGCCAGAGTGGAACAAATTACTGCGACCACATTGTGAAAAGCATGCATTTAACCTGAAGCAGGCTAGTTCAAATGACATATTCTATCACTCTGAAAAGAATCATATGAGAACAGATGCGAATGAATCTCTCTGAGTGCCTTAAGGCCCTTAATAGAAAAGTTTATTTCTATCACTGCTGAGAACTAACCACCTCACAGAATATGAAGAGAGCTGAATGTGCTCATGCAAATGCTAACTACTATCCCTCAGGAGAGAACAGAAAGGAAGAAGTTCCTACCTGTTTCTTGTAGTCAGTTTCATGAATCATTATACCTAGCACATCCAGCTTGCTCGTTCCATCCAAAAACACGTCCCACATTCCTCGAAAATAGGGATGGCACGAACAGAGCTTTCATTGAGAAATCCTTCAATGCACGCATTCTGCTCTCTCAGGAGCTAAATGTGCATGCTCCTAATTCATGTACAAACAAACGGTCTCCTGAAGACAAGAAAGAGGATGACATATTTCACAGGTGCCCTTTAATACTCTCGACCGCACCAGTTGTGACGTCATAGGCTGCCGCCTGCCAATGTCAAGTTCATTGTCGTGTTTAGACTCATGCTTCAGACACTGGTCATGCCGGAGGCATTCCCCATAGCGCCCTCTAGGGGACGCAGCACGAGTTCCCATTCGAAAGGGAACTGCCTGCAAACTGCAACTAACAACCAGACAGAACCAAGGGCTTACAGTTGCTTAAACATAGCCGCTATGTTACGACTGTGATGACTAACTTTTTAAGCCTAGTCTAAGCGTTTTATGCAACCTGAGAAAATTCCTGAGAAATGTATAAACATGTATCCAATATTTTTATCCCAAGATTTTCCTTTTACACACACACACACACATATATATGTATATATATATACCAAGTTCTGTCATGAAACTCTAGATGGCGCAGGCTGATGGTTTCTTAACGTAAACTTACGTAATGTAAACTTAGTCCTCTTAATTAATACATTAAGTATCACTTAGCCCTCTTCACAAAGGCGTGTCAGAACTAAGAAACTGATGTTTCCTTCAGGCTTTAGATCTGCTGAATATCAAATACTTCCATAACTTTATGCTTTTATCATTCACTCTGCTTCAGCTTAACCATCTTCCTGTACCAGAATGAGTGTGTGTTAATGTTAGACTAGTTTAACTGTTTAGTGTAGTTAATAAAGTCTTGTTTGTATCACACCTGAGGTTGTTCGTTGTTTTGCTCATAACTGGAGAACCTAATCATGCTGATCACAGCTACATGCCGTTAAAGTGTGTTGGGTGAGTATTAGGATATTATTATCTATATGGCCAAGAGAGTAATATTCTTCTATAGTCTGCAGACATTCCCACTAAACATTCGCTGGACAAATTGGTAGGACGTCAGTCCTGATTCTGTCAGGAACCCCCCTAAACCAGTTACTTTATCCAAATACTGATAATAATTTATTAAAAAAATATTACCATTTAGAGCTAATTTGTTACAAAAATTGAAGGCGGAAAAAATCCAAAAGTAAAACACCCAGACATGTGACATAATGAGATTTTGAGGAGGTGAATCTATTTAAATATACTGAAAATGAAAAAGTCCAAAAAATTACAACGATCTCAAAATAAGTTTAATTTCTTTATGCAAAAAATATAACTTCCTACTATTGTTAATATTGTGATTTTGGGGGTGAAATGTGATCTAAGCCTCTTTTACCATTATGTGATATTCAAAATAGACATGTGGTTACCATAGCTGCTATCCGTACATACAGTGAGAATGTAGCTCTCAATGGTCAAATAAATGAAATAATTATTAGTAGTGTCTAATGTCTATTGCAAAATGTTAATAAATCAATTCGTCAACAGACACAAATAATTTTCCAAGTAGGGGTATAAAAATGCTTTGCTTTGCAATTCACAGTGCTGGCCACTACTCAGCAATATATTTTATTTTGTGTTTATATATTGGGATAGGGTTGTATTCCCTATCAGTAGGGTGAATTCAGGGACATTTCAATGGCAAAATTTGTTTCAATTTACCTGCATTCACCCTTATATATTTTGTACTGAAAATTCTGATTTCATGATGCATTACTTTTAGTAAAGAATCATAACAGAATTGAATTGTCAAGCCAACTATTTACATCCCCTACCTACAAGTATGATAGTGCATGATAGTGAATTCCAGTCAGATAGAGTATATGTCAAGAAATTCACTTGTGACTGAAGAAACACAGAAAGTGTATACTTTTAGAAAAAGTTTAATATTTATCTCAAATATTACTTTTCAAAATATTTGTCATTTAACAATCTGCAGTACAGTTCTCTAGGGTTCATGATTTTGCTCATGTCAAAGAACACATACAAGCTGAATATTTCATAAAAGCTTGTATATATTGACATTTGTTGGAAAATTTTAAACCATAGATATATATACTTATGGGTAGATAAACAATTAATTTACATTTCAATACAGTAAAAACATTTATTTGAACAATTTTACCTACATTAATCAAAAAAGTACAGCATATTTAATAATTTTACAAATTCTGCATAAAAAATATATTTCTGTACAAAAACATCTTTTGCACCTACTTCAAGTCAGCAGCACATGATCGAATGACAATGGCGAGTTGCACGATTGTTGGTTTGAATGCAGTTTTACAGCTTGACAGTGGCAAAACTATTTTACAGTCGTAAGGAAACAAAACTGTACAAAATGCAACTGAACAAAGAAATATTATTGCAGCAAGCCTGAGAAAAGGCAAGACGTGGATCATCCGCAGTGTGAGAAAACCGACACCGCTCTTTACGCCAACCTGGCGAATCCAACGTACACGGAAATGGTACGATCTGAGAGCATGATTCAACGGAAAACATCGAAACACTTTTGGAAACAAAACGTGGTTTTGATTGAAAATACAATCAATGAGAAAATGATATGATATCCGACAGCAAGCCTACAATGTCATTGTGCACATTTTATGCTCAAAGCTGTCGATGTGTAGCACGCAAGTGCATATGGTAACACAGCGTTGAGAAAACATCAGGCATCACGTTGTTCACGTGGAAAAATGGGAGCACTTACAGTTTTAGCACATGCACTGGAATCAGCGTGGTCATGACATTTAAATCACAGTGAATGTGCACCCCAGCAGCCCTACGCTCTTCATCTAGGTTAATATACTAATGATATGGGTCATTGGGAACCGGTGTGGCCCGGTCATGCTTCGGAATCTAATAAGGCAGTGTTTCTTCGAGAGTAAGCTTGATCTTAACCACGCTGATTTTGTGTTTCTAATAGGCACGGGAGATGCACACTGGTTCAGAAAAAGGAGGAATGGGGGAAAAAAAATGCATCAACTTGTGGGCTCAGATAAATCTTGTATAGGCATCCACACAGAGCTGATAAATGAACTCAAAATCTGCGCCATCAAAATACAGTCATGTTCTGCACAAGAGGTATACTTGATACGTAATGAAAGCAAATTGGTGATACGGCAAATTGGTGAGTAAAGCTATTATGATTTCAAACGTAAAAACGAAATGTAATTTGTCAGCATATGCTAGTCCAAGCAAGTGATTGGACACACCACGGACGAACAGTACAACATGTGCGTGATGTGAAGTATGATGAATGCTTTAAAAAGCAATCAAAAATGATTCAATTGTGTCCTTATCACCTTGTAAACATAAACAGAACTTCATTTAAAAAATAAATTCAGTCTCTCTTGATAGCCGTAGCATGACATCATGCTCTCTATGGATATGGGTTTATGTTTATATACATATGGTCAATAAAACCCTGTATATTATTTTTTGTTTCTTCCAATACATTGATTTCATATCCATTTCATTCTAGTGCAAAATTTGTGCAATAAACTTTATTCTTTTTTTCAACACAGCGGTTGAGTTCCGTCCTCCATCTGGAGGTGAGCGTCTCTCCTTTGAGTTTCTTGTAGCGTTTTGTCACCTTCTTGGTGGAGATCTATTAAGTGTGCTAAGCCACAGTAGTCCAGTTGCTTTCTCGTTTTGTGGTTTGTCTTCACTGAAGAAAATACATTGCGTCAACAACTTTGTGGCATTCAAAGACACGTCAGTATCTTTCCCAGGAAGCCTTTTAAGTGGGGGGATACATAAAAAAAAAGATAAAAACAAACAAAGAAAACCTTCATCCTTTAAGTGCCATGTATGGTACAGATCCCAGAAAGAATGTTGACCTCAGTTCTGGCCGAACATGCGTCAAGTGAGCTTCGTTCTTTGAGAAGAAATTTTTCTTTGATGTTTTTTTTTCAGAATTTAGTTTTTTTCTCTAAAAAACATAGTCATTGGTTTTATCTTGTCCACTGTAAGCTTGTGATAAAAGTAAAATCTATAGCAAAGTGCAGTCAGTCGTAAAGGAGTATTAGCGTCTGGTTCCCACTGCTCTGCTGCTTACCCATGAGGCCGGTCGGTCCAGAGCTGATAATGAAGGCTATACTACTGTGCAGACTGTATTGAGGGTCGTATCAAACCTCACAGCCTTTGCCTCTGTTGGTTTCATGTTTGTATCATACATGGGATTCTCAAATGAAGCTTGTCCATTAGTGTTCTCGTGACCTGCATATCCGTTGTACTGAACTTTTGGTCTTGTTCTGGAAAGGTGGAAAAACAAAGATGGTTAAGAGGAATAGGAACTATTTTCAAAGCCAAAACACAAATTTGTGAATTTGTTTACATTTGTTACAACACATTCCAGTGTAAGTTTCAATTATGGAAGAACAACATAAACATTAGACATGTTAGATCAAACCTAAAACAAAAGAACGTAATGTCCTCTTCTAACAATGGGAAGTGACAAATGTGTTAGCCGGGTTAAATTACAAATTTAGGACAAGAAAAAATATATATTATACAACCAACTGAATATTTTTCATTCAACAACATAGAAGCAGTTCATGACAAAATTAAAATGTGGGCAATTACTCACCCTTATGTCAGTTCCACACTATACATTCTTCCATAAAATGCTAAATGTTGTAATATTATGTAGAATGTCTGAGCAGCTGTTATTCACAGCACTATGAGAGCATTATAAAAGTAGTCCATATGGCTTGTGTCCTTTGTAGAAATATCCTTACTACATGGAACACTGTATCTCACTATGCATTGTGGTCGACTTGACCTTCTACTTCTAGGGACATTTTTATGCAACACTGTATGCAAAATAATAAATGCAATATAATGTTTATTTCCAAGAGGATGAGAGGATGCCACTTGCTTGAATTGCAAATGTAATGTGATGAGGTCTTGGCAAAGAGGTCAGGAGATAATGTGGCATACTACTGCTTGAAACATTTATGGTGCAATAATGCCTATAGAATACTAGCATACTCTGTGCTATATGCTGAATTATTGCCTACTTTTTCGCCAAATAGTACACATTTTAGCAGTATGCTGCTTTGTCAAGTGTTGTTGTGTTTGTCACATGACAAATTATTTTACATTTTATTTCAATTTTGAGTAAAACTCTTGGCTGATCTGATCAAATACTGTAATGAGTCAATTTTCAATTCATTTAGCATACTGAAATGTGAGATCAAATTGAGTGCATTATGTTTTACCATTCCAAGTGCATTATGCTCTGTTGTATAATGCATTTTGGCAAATGTAGTTGATAATCTAGGTATTCTACTATATGTATATGTATGGTAGTATGCTATTCTGATCATGGCAGTTTAACAATTTCTCTCCTTATTCAACTGGAAACTTTGCTGCTTTTTACCACCAATAACTAAAACCAAAAAAAAATGAAACATAATTTTTTTTTTTGAAAGGTCACTGACTTCTTGACGGTCTAAATTTTGAATACTGCAACTGATTCCCAGGCTTGCTCAGATGGCAGTGGATGATTTATGATCTTGCTCAAATTGTATGGTCTAAATCTAAATAAATTACCTATATCCCATACCCAATTCATATTCCCACTGACTCACAGACACTGGCGCATCACCACATCAGACACAATTCTCATGATATTCTGGTGGCAAATGTACACAAACAGAAATAAACGGGATGACTTTTAGTTGGTCAAATTAGGGTTGACGGAAATGACATTCTAATATGGGACTACAACACATTATGCAAGTCACTTCATTTCCCATAATTCCTGCGCTCTGTCCTGCCTCAGACCAGATGAGAAAATAAAGTTCAGACAATGAAGGTGAGGCTGTAAAGGGCTCGTCGCCTGTGGCATTAGCTTCCGGTGACTTACCTGGAGGCGGCCAGGTCTTTGGGTCTCTCATTGTCATCTGTGCCTTGTGATAGAGCCCTGCCAATTTTTTTTATTATTTTAATATTGGAAAACTGTCATGTTTCATGACAACTTTGTCACATTGTTTTGTTTGTGTAGGAAAACTCCCATGCTTCTTTTTAGCATTGCCTTGGTTTGAACTCATTGGCATTTCAAGAGATTTTAATTGCTAACTGTCTGAAAGCAGATGCAAAATCAGTCACAATTACTGGCTTGGCAAAGGAGTTTCCCATCACTGCAGTGACACAATGCCGATTCACATTCATTACGGACAAATAACATCAACACACAAGACAGAAAAGTCAGTTGCTCTTACCTGTGTTTGTAGAGGTAAAAGGCAAACCCTGATAAAATAAGCGCAAAGAAGGGCACTAGAATGGCAGCTGCCACAGAACTGCTGTTTGTGCCGTAGTGAGGATTAGATGGATCCATATCTGTGGTAATAAGACCTGAGGCAGAATTCAGAATAAATAATTTGAAATGACCAATCTGTTCAGAATCATAAATTAAATAAGTATTGAATCTATAAACGTTTCAAATTCTAATACTAATTCATGTACTCTATATATATATATATATATATATATATAATGTATCTATGTACCTTGTCTTGTTAACTGAAACTTCCCAAAATCCTTGCTGTGAATGTGCCCTTGGTAAACAAACATTTTTTTCTCCGTTTCTGCAGTAACCTATATAAAAAATAAACATGAAGGTATAACAGGAAAAAACTTTTTAAAATATAGCCCTATTTTGCCAAAACAATGCCTTTCAAAAATTTTACTAGATTGTCAAAGATAAAGGTAATATATATATTTTTTTTCTGCAATGCAATATTGGAAATCACATAACCATTTAAAATTCAATGCTTTATTAACTTATTATTACCACTTTTGTACTACTCACATATCCATCCATTGCCCAGTTATCGTTTTTGAATTTGCTAAAATATTGTTCTGTTGGGCCTCTTATCTGGTAAACTTTTAATATTAGATGATTTTCTTCTTTCTTGTAAGTTCCTGCAAAATAACCCAAGAAGAAAAAAAGAAGAAGGAGAAGAAGAAGAAGAAACATTATAAGGAAATAATTAACTGAAATAACCAACAATATCCATCATCTGGAATTTATTTTATAAACCTGCATTTGTAATGCTTTTCTCTTTATTTTTGGTCTAGGACTAGGAAGTGGGGCAAAGGAAAACATATTTGGTAAATGTGGAAAGCATCCATAGCTATCAAGCCTGTTCAATTAATGTGAGAAATTGGATGTAATCTCAGCACTGAAGAAATAAGATGCAATGCTAATTCAATTATTCACTCTCCATCTTCCAAAGTAAGAAAATTCTTCTCTTTCAGCATGTTTAATACGTAAGAGCAGACTCCTAAATATGTTCAAAGAAGACAACAATTGGATCAATGGAACGTCATCTTGTTACCGTAGCAGCTGACCGCATATCAGTTCATTTCTATACTCACCAACAAATAACTCTATCTACACTCCTTAATAGCATTCTTCATTCCATTTTACATTCACACATTAGTCCATGTTTCTCACTGTGCTCAAGTGTAACCTAAAATCACCTAAAGTAGTCCTGCCCACTGACATCTGTGTGGATATGTTTACAGATATAAACAATATAGCAAAATTTCTACCAACTGACACATGTTTTGTCGTACAATATATCCATCATATTACCCAACCCTAGTGTCTTCAATGAACATGGTGGCAAAACCTGGCAGAAAACTCCAACGTACCAGAGAGTTTGATGTGCACCCCGCTCTGCTCCAGAAGAGTGACGTTGACCCGGCTGGTGGTGGCATTGAATGCATTGACTGTTACTGTGGCAGCCTGTCTCTTTCCCAAATACTCATAGAATCCAGCCCAACCAGAGTTCAAAGAGAACACGTCTGCAGGAACTAAACAACACATACAGAAAACATTTCATGGAAATGTATGAATGTAATTGCTACGGTAACAATATATATATATATATATATATATATATATATTTATTTTTTATTTTTTTTATGTTGTAGTTGTATGTTGTTAAAAATAAATACATAAAAATTTAGACACTTTATGTTTGGATTTGAGATATTAGTGGAACAAGAATGTGATAAACTTCATACTGGTAAATGCGTTAGTTGATTTAATTGACTTAACCCTTGATTTCATTGACTTAAACCAATTGTGAAGAAAAGTGAAGTTAGTTCTGAGAAAAGCAGAGTATTATAAGTGTCCAAAAACTTTTGGACACTGCTAAACATTAAAGGTGAAATATGTCATTTCTGTCCTACTAGCAGCACTAAATGGAATTGCAAAAATAATTTTTAAACACGTTTCCCAAAAACTACAACACCTATGAAAGGTTTACAAATAGTTGGTCTTTGCCAGTCAAAGCGGGATAGGCAGTCATATTTTAACACCGAAAATAATCACACTTCACCTTTATCTTTGTTACGCTGACATTTTAAAAATAACATTTTCAGAAATACAACATTACAGGCCCATTATTTCCAATGACCATAGTTCAACTTCATGTAGGCCAAGTTTATTTTTGATGACAGCAAAATGGATCATTTAAGGGGAACTTGAAAGTTTTTATACCACGAATTTTGTTTTTCTGCAGGTCTGGATCCTCATTTGATTTGCTGTTTATTTTTGGTCCAACTAGAAAATAGAGCAAATAATTGATCGTTTTACATTTGTGGATACAACCTGTACAATGGTAATGACAGTTAATCAAAGTTTCTTGCTGTAGTTTTTCTGAGAATGAGTCACTTCTACAACAGTTTGACAGACATGAATATCTTTCATACATTTATAAATGCAGACACTGCTATTCTGTCTATATATTTAGTCTTAAATGGTAAAAATATGGTAACACATTAGTTTAGGGACCAATTCTCACTATTAACTAGCATGCACATTACTAGCATATTGGCCGTTTATTAGCACTTATAAAGCACATATTAATGCATTATTCTTCATGACTATATTCTACATCCCTTAATCCTACCCCATACCTAAACTAGCCCAGTTGTTTCAGTACCTTTGCAGAATGGAGGTTTGCCTGACCACCTCCCATCTGCTTTGCAAGTCCTGTGCTCTGATCCTCCAGATAAGTAGAAACCATCTTGGCATGTATACATGAGTGTGTAACCTAGAGTAGGCAGGTCTATAGCCTTCACGTCTACATGAGATGGCGTCTCAGGCTGTCTACAGGCATGTGCTGAAAAGTGAAAGAGAAAGAAAACAATTAGTGATGTTCCAACTGATCAACCATAGATTGGAGCCAATATTACTTCCAATGGGCAATTCCATGAACGCAAGTATTTTGGTGATTCTGAGGAAATGAGCCTAATGGTCAGACTTAAGTAAGTCAGACTTTTTTCATGCCATCTTTCTTTCTTTCTTTTAATAAGTTTATTTTTTTGGGGTACACATTTTGATAGTCCACTTTAGACATCATTCTACTACCTTTAAGTAACTTTGTAATGACATGCCAACTAACTCTTATTATTAATTTGCAACTACATGTCAGCTAACTCTCATTAGAGTATTAGTAGAATATTAGTCATTACTGTTAGGGTTAGTAGAATAAGTTGACGCACTTGCAAAGTTACTTATAGTCAGTAGAATGTGTGCCATCAAAATAAATTGTTAGCAAATATTAAGCAGACAGTCTTGACATATAGTTGCAAAGTTACTTAGTAGGTAGAATGTCTAAAATTGAGCATCAAAATAAAGTGTTAACTTTTCCCCCCTCTATATCTCTTCTATATGAAAAACATAATAAGACCCTATCATAATTTTATTAATTTTATTTTCACATATATCAAGAAGCTGAATTTTTTTTAAAATGCCTTGTATTTCATTAGTATTATGTTCAGTAATGTTTCTGTAATTTATTATTATTATTATGTATTTTGCAACATAGAAAGAAGAAAAAAAAAAAATATATAAGCATAAGGCTTATTTGAACTAAGGTGGACATATTAGAACATCACTACTGATATTAGGACGCATAAACTACAGATATTTACAGCTGAAATTCATGCATTTTTTTTACTTCTGGATAATGATTTCATGTCATTAGTTTGCTTATCTCCATGAGAGTGACATATTTACTCTAAATGAGTGTAAATGAAAGCTTTTTTTGTTTATTTCATTACTTTGATAACACAAATAAAATAACATATACGTGGTCCAGAGACTGTAGCTATTTATTTTTTATGCCATTATTTTTATAACTCCTCATACATCCATTGCACGGTTTACACATCACATCCATGATGATCTGTTACTTGTTACAAATGTGTTACTTGCTACATGTATGAATTAAATTAAGAATGATGGATCTACTAAACATGCCTTTTGCAGCTACTTTAAAAAAATGGTAAGAACAAAATGGACTTTAGCAAAAAGTGGTGGGAATATACCCCACACCTCCCACCCACAAATAACACCTATGGTCAGGGCCGCATTAACCATTGGGCTAGGCGGGGTTGAAGCCCCGGGACACCCGAGCAAGGAGGGGACCCGTGATTGGCTGAGGAGTAGATTGACGGACATTGGTAGTGCCGATCGGCAAAGCACCACCACGCCCCTCACATTTTAGCGCTATTATTTAGTTTTTCCGGAGTTTTCCCATAAATTCCATGCATTACCATTAGAGATTAAAATGTCACATTTGAATTTGGTTTACCAATCAAATGCATTTATTAGCCTATATATTTTACTTTTCAACAAACTGCACGTAGCCTATCTATCAGGTGATGTCTGCATGTACCTCTCTTCACTTCATTCTGGTGTAATCTAGAAATGGTCATGCAAAGAACAATCTTCGATAAGTAAAAATGTCAACTATTCTAAAACAAATAGTGAGAGAAAAAAATGAGGAGAGAGGGGAAAACATGAGTTAGTCATTAAAATTCACAGCTAGTTTATATTACTAAAGCTGATGATGAAGTGGGAGTTGTGGAACCGCAAATGGACCGGACACATGGAGCAGACAAAAACACAGCGTCATCATCCCCACAGATTTTAATTTAGTTTGATTATTAACTTGATAGATGTTGCTTTTTGTGTTTGCACAAACTCTATAGGCCTAGTATATTCGCTTATGGGTTGAGAAATTCATTTTGCGCGTCATGATGTAAGCTTTTCATTTAAACGCATTTTAAGCATTTTGGTTTAAAAACTAATTTAACTGTTCAGGGACATTAAGCAGTGGGGCAGAATTCATTTTGGCAAACGCGCGCATTAAGACGGTTTCTGATACGCGCGGAGCGCACTTGCTCGTACACCGCCAGTCTAAACTAGTTATTTTTCGCGCCTTGTGTTTAAACGTTCGAATACACATACTTATGTGTCAAAATGCCTGTCTCCTCGTCAACAGTCATTTGTGTCTTAAATGAACGTTAATAGTTAAAGATAAAGCATGTGCACTAGTTCGCTATTATGAGATCCTGCACTCTAAAAAATGCTGGGTTGTAGCTGCTGTTGCCATTTGTGTCAATAATGAAAATTAAACATTAGAAAGAAAATCACTCACTGTTCTTGACCGAATCGCTTTTGTAAAATAATGTATATTGAATTTATGCAGTGAAGACTATTCAGTCTATTTGTAGTCTATTTATTTTATACAATATAATATTTCTTATTCAGTGCTTTAAGTGTTTGTAGGTCAATTTCTTTGTTCTACTGTAATGCATGACTGATTACTTGCCTTCAGTAAGTTTGTTTTTACTTAGGCTAGTATTTTTTTATTTTTTTATTTTGTGACACTGGAATTGGTAACAAGAATTGTGAAATTGCAATGCATCAAAACATTTTGATTGGATAAAAAGGTTACACTTTATTTCGATAGTCCACTTTAGACATTCTATTAACTATAAGTAACTTTGTAACTACATGTCAACTACATGTCAACTAATTTTCATTAATTTGCAACTACATGTCTACTAACTCTCAGAGTAGACTGTTAGGGTAGGTTTAGGGTTAGTAGAATAAGTTGACAAAGAAAGTGTTAGAAGATATTAAGCAGACAGTCTACTAATACTCTACTAACTGCTAGTTGACATGTAGTTGCAAAGTTACTTACTGTTAATAGAATGTCTAAAGTGGACTATCGAAATAAAGTGTTACCGATAAAAATCCTATTTTAAGCTATATATATCATTATTGTGATGGGGGCCCTGCAATAAGTCATAGCCCCGGGGCCCAGTGAGGTCTTAATGCGGCCCTGCCTATGGTTACTGTAACAAACCTGATTTGGCCACCTTGCATTATTAGATAAGTTGAATATTAAAAAAAAAAAAAAAACTCAACCCCTTAATGGACAAACTAATTGTTCTGGCCTAAAATCATGCCACTACTTGAGCCAAGTCAAGTCTAGTCAAGTCAGTTTAAGTGCTTTTCACAATAAATATTGTTTCAAATAAGCTTTCCAGAAAATCACAATGTTTTTAGACATTATGAATACGTTCATGTCAGGGAGTCATCACAGTCACTTCAGTCACCATCCAGGATAATTACCCGATCACAGTCACCTGAGTTCTGATCACCCGCACCTGCTGTCACCAATCAAGCCACACTACAAATACACACACAGCACAGCCACTCACTGTCCGGTCTACCATTCACTCCTACGAACTACTCTGGACTCTCTCTGCCAAAATCTCCTAGAACGAATTACCTGCTGTTCCTCCCACGATCCTCCAACGACTCCGTGGAAACGGCTCCACGATCTCCAACGTAACCGGCATACGATCCTCTCCATCAGAACTCAGATAAGCACCCTGGAACCATTCACTGTGTTGACATTCACCTGCCTTTAACTCACCTATTCCAGTCATCCACTTACCAAGTCAATAAACCATCCTGTTTTGCACTTATCTGTTGTGTCTGGCCTTGCTTTGTGACAGTTCATGACTTGTAGTGGCATTTAGCATATTAGTGCTATATGATAGAATTGTTTAGATTTTGCAAAGATACAAGCAATCCAGCAGTTGAGATTTGCTATACACACAGTAGCATATACATTGGTATGCATTGCTGTATGAGATACTGCATATATGTAGGTAAAGATGGAAATACTATAACTCTTAATATACTGTTGGTCGATAATATAGTTTACATTTTGTGACAATATAAACAATCAAGCAGTTGAGATATGCCATATAGTACACAGCTTAACATGAGTGTACTGCATGTATCCGGGTGGTGTTGGATATACTTATAATAGTTTTATAATTCGAACCAATGTTGCTGTTTTAAAAATCCTGACCAGAGCATCCCTAAATAAGTAGAGAATCGCAATAAAAGCAATATCAGAAATATTTAGAGTGCAGTTTCAGCTGCATACTACAGAACAGTCGAGATAAAGCCACACCCCTGACAGAAACGTTCTGGGACATGCCTTGAGTGCTGCTATCTTCCATAATATATGAGCCATGTCCTCACACCTCACTTTTCGTCAACTCAATTCTCACTGCTTCTCAGCTTCTGACAGTTTGACTGCTTTACACAGGCGAGACGCCCTAAGGATTTGGTGTGGCGCTCTGTCAAAGTGGTCCATGTATCTCAAATTTATGTACAAGCTGTTTAAACTCAGCTGACTTTAATTCTTTTGGCCACATGTTCCTCTTGCAGCAATCATTTCAATACAAAAGCATCACAACGTGGAATTCACACATACAGCTTAAAGGATCATCACTGGGACAGTGGCAAGGATCAAGTGCATGACACTGCTCAGAGAACTTCTATCAAAAAGTAGATTTGCAAGAGCAAACTTATCTCTGCTAAGCTGTCAGCATCTTTAACATCAGCACCCTCAGCCGTCATAACACTGAAGTAATCTGTACTTCTTCAAACAATGCCCTTCTGCAGTAATTTCCTGTGTAAAGATCTCTCTCTCTCTCCTCACCTACTTTGTCTTCCTGATAGTACATCATCAGTCACACACTGATGAAACCTTGTTTCTGATTTAACGCTATGGCTGTGTTCCAAAACCTAAGGAACTGACTTGCTGTCAGACGCCTACACGGGAAACTTCCGTTTGAGGCAGTATGCTAAGTGAAATGGAACCTCATAAGTGCCCTACTTAGGCAGCAAATAGTGCTCTTCACATGTAGCGCATATCAGATCTCACTTCCAACTGATTTAAATAGAGTTTGCTGTTAGCATGTTGCTAAGCTAACACTGTGATACTCTAATTCTGTTTTTAGACTAGATTTTCTGGCCGCCAACAGTAAATGGAGATGACATATATATATATATATATATATATATGCATCCAGATTGTCAAGCATTGAAAAAACAAACGTAATAATAATAAAAAAAAAAAATCCTCAGAAATTGATTAGACTGATTCGTTTGCTCAAGCGTGCTGCCAAATGATTAGATCGAATAGATTAATTTGTTTGCTATGATTGTCTATGAAGATATGTTTTCAGTGGACTTTCACAACTTGCTTGAGAAAACATTAAAATATAGTTACAATGTTTGTTTGTTTTTTTCATTTGATTTAATCAAGTTATTTTTGCATCACATACAATGTACAATGTCATATTTATTATTCGAGATCTGCAGCAACAGGCTTGGGCGAGCGACTTGTGGACAGCTTGTCCTTATCCTTGTACATAATATCATCCACATACCAACAAACCAATGATTCGTTTGGCAAATAAATAATTTACGGACAGTTACAACTGCTTTAGCTTTATACCTGAAATGAAAAGGGAATATTTAGTAACGATAATATTAATTAGCCAGTCTGCAAACTCATTCTCTCAAATGGCTTGTGTATGAAGAGTCCCTGTTGTTTTATATTATAAACTGTTTATTAACTATTTAATGAAGTATGTGACCCCTGCTGAAGTTGTTATTTCTGCATCAGGACCATGCCCAACATAAGGAGAGCAAGAGATTGATTGTTAGAGTCAGTTTATTTTTAATTAATACTGTAGTAGTTCAGTTTCCTTTACATCTTTAACTAGCCGTTAATTTATCAATTGAATGGGAGACCTATACTCGTTAATCATGCAAACACTTGCCCCCCCCATGAGAGAATTGGCAGGAGCCGCCACTGTATATATATATATACAGTATATATATTAAGGTCCAATTCTCATTGTTAACTAACTACTAACTATGACTTTTGCCTCAGAAAACTCCTAATTTGCTGCTTATTGATAGTTAGTAAGGTAGTTAAGTTTAGGAATGGAGTATGATTAAGGGATCTAAAATATGTTCACGCAGAATAAGGCATTAACATGTGCTTTATAATCACTAATAAACAGCTGTTCTGCATCAGGACCATGCCCATCCCCCTGTCAAAAAAAGTGTATATAAATTGACATGTGTGTGTTTGTACGTATACTTTTTTTGCATGGTCAACTGTGTATAATGACATTGTTAAAACAATGTTAACATAGTTTGCGAGGACCCTTCCTGTGTCCTTATAAACCAACTGGCTTTAAAAACACACTAAATGGTCTGTTTATTTGTTTGTTTGTTTAAATAAAAATACAAAAAATGCCTAAATGTTTCTGTGAGGGTTATGTTTATGTGATGGGGTAGGGTTATGGGATAGAAAAATATGATTGGCTCAGTAATAAAAACTTCGCCTATGGAGAGTCCCCGTAATATGTGTGTGTGACTTTAATAATTGTATCGTGTGGTAACTGTTGTATACAAGCAATAGGGAACTCGAAGACGTGCTGTATTATGAATGTACTCTGCTTTGCATCAGGCCTAATCAGGCCTAACAAATGCTCTTCAGCTGCGACTGTATTCACAGCATGGCCTCTCGTACCTTACTTTACATGAAATCAAATGTTATAATTAATAAATTGAATAAACTTACAACATATAAACACATAACAGCTTGACAACCTGACATTTAAAAATAATTAAGTCTAATTTAAGAACACACTTCAAATTTTTAAATCTTATTAATGACACTATTGATATATATTATTGTGATTTTATTGTGTTGACCTGTTACCCAACAGTTATTACAAATATGATGTTAAAATTTAGATAACACATCTCACTATTAACTAGTTGCTTATTAGCATGCCTATTATTAACATATTGGCTGTTTATTAGTACTTATAAAGCACATATTCTGCATGACCATATTCTACATCCCTAAGGTCCAATTCTCATTGTTAACTAACTACTAACTATGACTTTTGCCTCAGAAAACTCCTAATTTGCTGCTTATTGATAGTTAGTAAGGTAGTTAAGTTTAGGAATGGAGTATGATTAAGGGATCTAAAATATGTTCACGCAGAATAAGGCATTAACATGTGCTTTATAATCACTAATAAACAGCTGATATGCTAGTAATATGCATGCTAGTTAATAGTGAGAATTGGTCCTTAAAATAAAGTGTTAGCAAAACTCTCATAGTGTGTGGGCGATATAATAATACGTAGAACACTCAATGTGGAAAATCTTCTATTCATAATCAGAGTTATTTTATTTTTAGCAATATTTTTCAATATTGAATGCGTTACATTCATGAGTCTTATTTTTTTCCATCTTTTTGATTTTGGTAGATTTTATTTGTATTTATTTTTTTCAATTACCTTGTCACAATGCAACCTGGTATTGCCTTCTGTGCAATGGATACATGCGATGTTAATTTAGAATTTGGCCAAAAGAACAAAGTTTCTCAGAACAGCTTTCATGCTCATGGCACTATGATGCTGCCAGCATGGGCAGCTCACTAGCTTTTGGAACAGAATCTGTATAAATTGATGATTACCAACACACTCTGGTTGCATCCCACTCCATGTTAAATTTTCTAAACACGTTCTCGTTGTTGAGCCGAGGATGTGATAGTTTTTCCGACATCTGAAGAAAATTTGACTTCCAACCTGAAAGAAGAGAATTACATTATTGAGACTGAAACCCTGAAACGCAACCTGTTATTTACTCAACTAAAGGACAGGAAATGATTGAATGTCATTTGTTCTCACCTCAAATCCCTGAGCCTGGACTGGAATTCCATATGCTGGGGTTCCGGGATCCTTACATGCATTGTTGGTTGGATCTATAAATAGACATTCACACCTTTTAGAATAATTTATTTAAATAGATAAATAAATGTGTGTGCATGTATCACATGGCAATGGAATTGCATTGCTTTTTTCCCAGCTACATAGTGGATCACCAATGCAAGAAGGCTGTATTCCACTCCATGAACCGTACGCCTCGCAAACTCTTCTTGAGGAGCCCACCAGCAGGAATGGAGGTCTGCAGTAGAATGACACCTCTGATTTGTAGGTGAACTGCCGGCCCTCTATGAAGCCCTCTGCAGGGGTGCCTGGATCTCCACATAACACGGCTGTAAAGGACACCATTGAAAAAGTCAGCTAGTTCTAACATTATCTCAGTTCAGCTACTTTCTTTTTTCAAGAGTGTAATTTAGCAGTGAAAGTTGCTTGTGTGTTTGAATTTGAAAAACATCAACAGACAAAAAGGTCTACTGTGAGGACCCCCACCCCCAAAAAAAGAAAGAAAGAAAGAAAGAAAAATACTTTTAATTGCATTTTAGTAGTCAAACTGTTATAGTTGTGCTGTTTATTTGTATTCTCAGGTGCTTCTCTTGTTTTTGAGGTATTTAAGGCATTTAGAAAATGAAAATGCTTTAGCATCACATTTCAGACAGGATCAACTGATGGCAAAGTGCTACTAGTAAATTACAGCTAATATAGATACAATGTAATATCGTGGAAATAAACAAGCCAAAAATTAACAAAAAATATGAAATCATCAACAACAATTTGGTTTTAATACAACAACAGCTGCTGAAAGAAGTAGGTCTAGAGTCTGCTTCTGAAGATTTAACAGTAGACACACTTTTTCATTTGAAGGAGAACTTGATTTCATCAAATGCTTGGTGGCCAAATAGTCTTAGGCCTCAGCATAGATTGGATGTGGGAAGGTGCCTGACCAGTGACTGCTTTGACGCTTGGACAAATGTTTAAACTTGATTCTACTAGGTATAGGGAGCCAGTGGAGGAAGCGCAGCTGAAGTGTTATCTAGGAGGACTTGAAATGCCTGAATATCAACCAGACTGCAGTTTTCAGAATGAGCTGCATCGTGAGGTACTGCGTGTACCAGGACTAGCTGTCATCCTTTTTCCAAAGGCAAAAAGCAAGACATGTTTTCACACTATAGTTCATGTAATTTAGAAGCCTGCCCTTATATATTACATATTATTTCACAGTTTCAAGCGATGACTTCTTTAACCCTGTATGCTATATAATTTAATTTAATATTTGATTTAAAAGTAGGGCTGTTGCTTGCTTATTAGCATGCCTATTATTAACATATTGGCTGTTTATTAGTACTTATAAAGCACATATTCTGCATGACCATATTCTACATCCCTAATCCTACCCAATACTAAATTAACAATTACCTTACTAACTATTAATAAGCAGCAAATTAGGAATTTATCGAGGCAAAAGTCGTTGTTAATGGTTTGTTAATAGTGAGATAAATAAAATGTGACCACAATTTAGTTTGGATGATCAAAGGTATTGATCAACAAGTTTGATTTCAAGGAGTTTGAAACCAGCATACAAAACCACTGCTGGAGAAAACAAACATTTGTGTCTTTATTTACTGGGATATAGTCTTCGTGACATCTTCTCCGTCAGACAACTAGCCCTGTTCTCTTCCATATAATAGTGCTTCTTGGTGTGTGTACTTACGATATGGTTTCTTTTTTTCTGGCACTTTTAACGAGGATTTTTTTTGTAACAGCTGACATTGTGTCAAAGGCTTACAATAAAAGCTAGAAGGATTTAACAGCAGATTCTCTGCATGCACCTCGTACCTCTTACGCTGCATGCCGGAAATTCAGGCTACTTGAGGGATCCATTTGTGATGTGTTGACGCTTGTATTGAAAATGTCAAAACAGGTGTGCTGTAGCTGTAGCTGATGTGCTGTAGCTGCGTTTCACACAATTTCAGTCAAGCCACGAACCTTCCATCATAGCGACACAATACTCTAAACACAACAACAGCCGCCGCAGAAAATATCAACTTTTGGCCCATATATACAGGGTTCTGGCATGAAACTCTAGATGGCGAAGTCCGATAGGTCTAACTCAATCTGACCAAATGGCATCATTATCACATGGCACAGCTGATTGGTCTGGATGTATTGGCAGTAGCAAGTCTCGGTACTTGCTCTGCAGCAGCAACAGCGTAGCAGATCTATTCCGCCAAGACCAAATACATTAACATTGTCATGTACATTACCATGCCAATCCCTCTGAGAGTTGTCATGACAGAAGTGGATTTACGGCTGGGCACTATGATGGTATGAATGGTGTGATGGCAGAAATATGTCAAGATGGTAGAGATCTTGCTATATTATTTATACCGCAGAAGATGTATTTGGTTGGCTATCAGTTATTATTTTTTCTTAATCAAATGTGAGAGCGAACTGCAGAAAGCGCCGTAAAGTATATTAGCACAAATCGGACTGTACTTATATCCCTCACAGCCTAATTTTAATTTGTAATTAAATATGCTGTCTACTGAAGCAAAACACATTGTTTACATCCCCTTTTCATGGATGTGCTAATGGAGTTTATTTCTGTTTTCTGTTAATGGAACAGAACAGTACTTACGCAGACACTGAGGGATTTCACCACGCCATGTGCCGTTCCCTTCACATGTGGCTATTCCAGGAGAGGACAACTGGTATCCTTCAAAGCAGCTGTAGGTAACACTAGAGCCCCACTGCAGGTCTGAGCCCTCCACTCGCCCATTGTGGATAGCTGGCGGCTGACCACACATTATGACTGAAAAACACCACCACAACAGTATTCAGTATTTAAGAATTGGCTCTCTTTTAATTTTTATGAGGTGGAATTGGAATTGACCAATGCTCACTGGATGGAATCCTGGGCCCGATTGCATGAAAGTCCTTAAGTAATTTGACTTAGGGGTATCCCTGAGAGGGAAAAAATCCCTGAGGTAAGGGATTTCTTTAGGAGCGTTGCAACAAACGTCTTAACTGTCACCCTTACCTAAGTGTTTATACTAAGCGTTTCACAGTAGTTTCTGGCAACATACGGCAATGGGCGCCGCGGTTACTATGGTTACTACATCTCACAATAAACAGATATGTATACATATCTATGACAATCATAATGAAATACAAACCTAACCAACTAAAACTCAGACAAACATTAAGCATGAGCGCTGCCCGTTTCTGCGCTGCTTTGAGGAAACCGCTTTGTTTCTGCAGTGAAAGCGCCTCCTGCTGACCAATGATGGAAAATTTACCAAATGTGAAAATTAACCCATGTTTTGACGCTGCAAACACGCAGAGTTGTAAATGTGAACAGGTGGACCGACAAGATAATGCATTACAATAATCTAAACAATTAAGACAAATTATATTTATATTGTTATTTAATTAATGTAATATTTGATTAATAATGATAGTTTACATTTATATCTTAATTGATACAACTCGTCCATTTACTTAAAAAAATTATATAAAACTTTTTGTTTTGTGAAAACCTGTAAGTCATGCTTTTTACAGTCATTTTACAGTTTAATATGTTACCATAGTCACTGCCCTACTGCGCTCATATGATATTTTATTTGTGCAGGTCTTAAAAAAATGTCTTAAGTCTTACATTTGAGTTTAAAAATCCTGCAGATACTGAGTTTAAGATGACTTAAGGGAGCTCTTTTGGTCCCTTAAATTTATTAAGGTGAAATGGTTACTAGCAACACTTAAGGGAACACTTAAATAATTAAGGGGAATACTCAATGGCAGCCTTAAGGTTCCTTAAGTTGACCCTTGGGTTTTTTTCTTGCAACACAAGTTTCACTAAGGGCTCCCTTAACCTAATAACTAAGGGATTTCTTAGCATAAGGGCTTTCATGCAACCGGGCCCTGGAATTTAGTATATTACTGCATTGCAATTTAAAGAAATTTAACACACTCACATTGCAAAAGATTTTCATTAGTCCAAGTTTTGTGAGAAAACATATAATTAAATTAATAATTTGACTAATTGTCTCAAAATTTACTCAGTGATACTGTATGTAGAAAACTGATTGCACATATTTCTCAATACCATCAAAAAAAAAAGAAACAACACAGAAACAGATTTTAAGGTAAAAGTATTGCATTCATATAACATTTAAAAAATTGTCAGTCCCGTGTCATGTGTTTTCCTCCCCCACGTGTTCCATGTTCAGTTTATGCCCATATTTGGTCCTTCCTGATCCGATTATGTTCCCTGATTAGTTCATCATTTGTTTCCAGCTGTGTTTTGTTAATTATCTTCATTTGCTCCAGTATTTAAAGTGTAGTCTGCCCTGTCTTCCTTCGTCCGGTATTGTTTATGTCAACCTCCTCTGCTACGTGTGTTTTCCTGGTTCCCTTGATGTTATAAAAGTCTCCTTGTTGATGTACTCCACGTCTCCTCGTTCCTCGCTCTGCGCTCCCTCACAGTAGCGATCGTGACAAAAATAAGGTAACACTTTATTTTAGGGTCTCTTAACAAGTTGCTTATTAGCATGCATATTACTTGAATATTAGTCATTTATTAGTACTAATTAAGCACATATTAATGCCTTATTCTACATGACCTTATTCTACATCCCTAATCCTAACCAATACCTAAACTTAAAAACTACCTTATTAACTATTAATAAGCAGCAAATTAGGAATTTATTGAGGGAAAAGTCGTAGTTAATAGTGAATAAGTGTTCCCTATTCTAAAGTGTTACCAAAAAGAAATACTAACTTTAAAATTTGGCATAAATTAAAGCATTATGGAAATGTACTGTCCCCACTGGTAATTGATGCTTAACACAATTTTTTTTTTTGGCAACAACTAAATGTTACAATAAAATCTATAAGAATGCATTAAGGGAATATTTTTTTTTACTGCAACTGAACACCATGTTATTGATCACCTTTTTGCCTTCATGAATGGTCCTGAGGTGTAACAAATGACATTTTTAAAAGTTTCACATAATCTCCAAATTAATGATTTCATAAATGTTGCATGCCTAATGATTATACTATTTTACATTATACTATTTTACTGCTTTTACAATTATACTATTTTTAAACATTGGTTATCAATACAAAAGTATTGTTTCTGTATTTACCATATACTGTATACTGTAATATATAGTATTACATATATAGTATTACATATATAGTATTACATTTGTATACTGTAATACAAAAGTATTTACCCCATGTAGCATAAAAGCCTACACTTACAGCAGTGATTTAGAATTTTATTTTGACTGTCCTACATTCAAATTCAAATTCCATATTCTGTTTGCTACCTCAGTTCAAACTAAAGGAATGGGAACTGAAATGCATTTTAGAGGCATTCTGAACAGCCGACAACCCTGATTTCATCACCATCATTATTACTGACGGAAGATGTGTCCAAACCCAGCACCTCCTTCTTTCACTTGTTCAGACGCAGAAAAGGAAGATCTGAAAGAATAGTATGCTAAACAAGGGGCTTAGAGTTATTTATTTTCTTTCCTTGATCATTACGTTCCATTTGCTAATGGGAGGAAGTGTATCGCTTGTGGGAGGAAACGATGATTAAATGGGATTACATAATCACTCTGAATATCAAACATCCATCGCATATCTTTCTGCGTCCGAAAACATATATCTGATATTTTCTAGAACTGATCGTGAGGAGGCTGAGCTGTCTGCATTGCACCACTTGCTAATTTCATTCTGACATCTGATAACATAGATCCTACACATTTCATGGCAACATCTCCTTGGAGTTCATAAGTGAATAATCTCACTTGCCAGGCAAGTCAAAAAAAAAAGAGATCAAAAACATCTGAAAGGCTTTTGATGTTGGGAAGAACTCCACAATATAAGTATATATTTTAAAAGCTCTCATGATGCTGTTTGCAGAGTGACAGGAAATGCTGCCCTCTCTGCCTGTACAGAGAGAATCGTGTACGTTTGGAAGTTACCTCTGCAGCTTGGTTTGGTCTGATTCCAAGTGCCATCTTTGCTGCAGCGTAGAGTAGATGAACCAGGGGGCTCCATTACATACCCAGGGTTACAGCGATAGTGGACGGTTTTGTTAAATATGAACTCATTTCCGATGTAAATTCCATTGGCAATTGGACCAGGATCCCCACAGCTGATAACTGCAAAGAGAGAGGACAAGCTAGACTCAAACGTTTGTGAACATTCTTTAATAATTCATAGAGATTGCACTTGTAAATATAATAATAATAATTATTATTATTTCTGTTCACATCAATCTGCGCTCCATACAACTTAATATGAATTTTCAGCTGTTAGTCCTTATACTGTATAGACAGACGCGTGTATGAGTTGTAGATGGATGTGGAAAATAAATATATAAATAAACTAATATTATATAATAAATCATAAAATGTGAAAACAGGGATCTGAATACTTTCTGAATGCACCGTATATTCAAAATATTGTGTCTTTTGGGTTACATTTTGGTTCACATTATTTTCTCCTTCATGTAATTAAAGAGTTTGGACCAAAAATGCTTACAATTTGCATTTATTTAATGTGCTTAAATAAAAGCACGTGTTGTGTTACTCTCGATAATGGCGGTAGATGGTAACTCGGGGGAGAAGAATTGTTGAATAAAGTCGTTATTTTTGTTTTTTGCACACAAAAAGTATTATCATAGCTTCATAAAATTACTGCTGAACTACTGATGTCACATGGACCATTTTGTTGATGTTCTTGTTACCTTTCTCGGCCTTGAACATGGTAGTTCCCTTGCTGTCTATGGAGGGTTGGAAACCTCTCGGATTTCATCAAAAATATCTTAATTTGTGTTCCGAAGATGAACGAAGGTCTTATGGATTTGGAACGACATGAGGGTGAATAATTATCGACACAATTTTCATTTTTGGGTGAACCTAGATTATTGACCTAGAAATAGTGCAGAATCTAACTAATATGTTAACTTGTCTTTGGCTAAAACAATCTTCTAACATCCCAGATTTTCAATGTGGTATCATATTTTGGACCCCACTGTATATTTCCCCATTACAAGCTATTACACAAAACCTATATCACACAACTAAAACTGCTGAACTTTATGGAGAGATGACGATTCCTCCTGTTGTCGCCCCTTTTTTTTGAACAAAATAAGAATAACTTTTGTTGACACGTCCAATCGGTGTTAACAGTGGTGGATCACGTGACTTGTGACACAACTCATCAGCTATCAGTGCAACTCCTGAAGCACACAGGGTACATTACACAAGCAATGCCTGTGTAATTACAAAAGCAGGGTAAAAACATTTTGCGGTAATCAAAAAGAGTAAAGGTTGCTGTTCTGACCGATGCAATCTGGTGCTGAGCCGGTCCAGGTGCCATTGGTGGTGCAATGGCGAGTGGTGAGACCCGAGGTCTTGTACCCCTCCCAGCAGGCGTATGTCACCGAGCTAGGAAACAGCATACCATCGCTGAAAACGATCCTGGCGTAGGCCTGCATTCCAGGATTTCCACAGGATACAGCTGGGAAGGCAATCAAAGACCAGAAGAAGTTAAAGAAAGAATGTGAGGAGTAAAAGACTGCAGCCCTGCGGGACTGAAAACAGCAATCGTAAGAGAAGAGCTTCTGTGAAACATATCTAAGGGCTAGCACCACAAGCAAAACACTTGAAACTACACCACAAGCGCAGTGTTTTACAGCCTGCAGAGTGTTGTTGGCAAGGTAGATGAACTTCCATTTCCAATTAGTTGGAGCGTTTAACAAGGTTTTTTTTTTTATTCTCATACTTTGAAGTGGCATTTTCAGATAAGGGCAGTAAAGATGATACGCTCCAATGCGGTTAATTAGAGTTTGAATTCTAATAGCACAGAGATGCATGGCAGCCTTAAATTGGTTGGGTGTCCATACGACAGTGCTATTCTAAATTATGACGACTCGCGTGCAACAGTCAATAATATTTAAATTATACATTTTGACTGCTATTGTAGAAACAAAGAACATGGAATTTTATGCATCAAAGTCATTTTCTATTGTGAACTAATTTCAATAGAATCTTGTGAATAAACAGCACAGGAAACTGGGTGTTGAGCTGTATTGATCATCGTGATACAGATTCCTTTATTTTGCACTCTGCCTAGAGTGTTGCTAGCAAGGTATATCAAATTAGTTCCAACTTGAATTAGTTTTTTGTTAGTATTTTCAAATAGCAATAATTAGAGTTCAGATTTATTAGAATTCAAAAAGATGTTACCTGCTGATGCACGGTAACAACCTGAAATTGGTCAGGTGTCCATATGATGCAGCTTTCAATAACGCTTTCTAAATTATGATGAACAATGTGCAACAGAAAATTAGATTTAAAATACTTGTTTTCATTTCTATTGACGAAATAATAATTTAAGGATGTTTTTATGCTCCAAGAGCATATTGAAGATCAACTGGTTGTTGGTTAAGTTATAGTTAAGAAATCATTATGAAACTTCCATAATTATGTTTGGAGTTTTACCATCCATTAATCAGCAGAACTGTTGTTGAAATAGTTGGTCACATGGAGGACTCACTTAATCTTTATTATCATCAAGATTTGTAGCTGTAATTTGGCCCTCATATCCTTTCAGATTAAATAATAAAACTTAAGTAAATAGAGAAAAACTGGACTGATTAAGAGTTAATGGGATCCTAGTGGAGGGCTGCTGTAAACAGATATACTTCCAAACTTTAAGTCATTATTTGTAAGTAGCAACAGGTTTGTGTTTTATGTCTGGTATCTGGAAAGTGTTGTCTGTATCCTCACAACTGTACTAAAGCCCACCGTGGAGTTACCCCCCACAGCGATCTGTATCAGCCATGTGTTAAAGCCCCTATTCAATTATGAATGTGCCCTAAATGATGTATATTATCAATCTCTTTTACACAACCCCATCATACTGTCTGTAGCAGAAAACAAACAAACAAATTAGTGATAAAACACATTAAGCTATTGGGCACATTGTTGTTGTCCTCTAATAATATGGTATTAATACTTCCTGGGGTGATTCAGAACTCTAGCTTCCATGAGGTTTATTTGCTGAGCGCTCTTATTATTTTGTTTTCATCTGAGACTAACTAAATTACAGATTGAGATATACAATGGAGCTGCACAATGAAATTGGTGAATATATAGGTGTGGGTTAGTTAAGATAGAAAATTTGATTTGTTAATTTCCATTAACTGAATCTAAACTAAATATAAATTATACATAAACTAATTTGTATCAAATTTACTAACAGTGACAGGCAAGAGTCAAGTGATCAAACACACATACAGGGACTGCATATTGGAAATATGGAGGAAAACTACAAAGAACATGAATATGGTCAGCTGCAAAATAACTGAATTGTCTAGGAACCGCAAAAAAAAAAAGAAAAAAAAAAAAGGTCCCACTTTATATTAAGTGGCCCTAATACCTGTGTACTTACATAGTAACTAGATGTGTACATAGTATGTAACCACAGTGTAATACACATTGGTACATAGTATCTAGAGCTCTAATGTTTGTGTAACTACACACATGTAACACCCCCACTGAATGGTATGTGTAAATACAAATGTGTAACAGGACATTGGTAACAACACTTTTTGGTAATGAAAGTACAAATGTGTAACAGGACTAACAGCATTTTTTGGTAAAGAAAGTGTTACACTTTATATTAGATTTACCATGTAATTATTCGTATGTTACACAGCAGCGGCCAGTAAGTTAGGCTTTACATATAAATTGTGGTTGGTGTCCAGAATGTTACACTTTCTATTAAGTGGACAGTTCCTGAGGAGTTACCATGTAAGTACACTGGTATTACAGTGGTGCACCAACTTGAGATCCAACTCCTCCCACTTTACATATCCCTAAACCTACCCATCTCCACCCCCTCGATCAAATTGTTCCAATTACTCTTATACATAGTGTTGTTACAAAATGTCGTTATATATGTCCTGTTACACATTTGTACTTACACAAACCATTCAGAGGGTTGTTACGTGTGTAGTTACAGAAATATTACAGCTCTAGATACTATGTACCAATGTGTATTACACTGTGGTTACATACTACGTACACATCCAGTTACTATGTAAGTACACAAGTATTAGGGCCACTTAATATAAAGTGGGACCTCAGTAACAATAAAAAAATAAAAACCTTTGCTCAGACTCTGAATCATGTCAAAACGTCCTGTTTTTCCATTAGCAGTTAGCTATTCACAAATCCTTATTAAAGTAATGTATCATTAGACACCATGCTTAATGACAGGGCCTTTTGTGTGGCTCCACTAACCGGAGTCATTTAGTTAACTCGCAATTACCGATTTTAGGCCGGTTAGCATCAAAAGATACATTTTACAATAATTACAGTGTACAATTCAGGAAAAAGTGAGCACAGCAGGTTAAGTGGGGTTCAGAAACAAAGAGAACACGTTGTAATTTGAGCCGACTTTAGTTTCTAAGAATACATTTAAACCTTTATAAATATATAGCACAAACTAAAAACCCCTAGTCTCTCAAGCATACATTTTTACTCATTAGGCCGTTGCCTTTACTGGATCACAATTTGCCTTTCTGATCAAATTAAGCTCAAGTGCAAAGCCACATCCTGGTGAATTTCGCCCTGTGTGTCTCTCCACACATATCTGTGACCCTTACCTTCACACACGGGCTGGGTTCCGCTCCAGGACCCGTTCTGCAGACAGGTGCGCTCGGAAAATCCGATCAGAGTGTAGCCCGCTTCGCACGTGAACCTTAGGAGGCTTTTATGCCTGAACTCCTCCCCAAGACGAGAACCGTGAGGAGGAATTCCTGGATCGCCACAGAATCCTGGATTATCACCTGAAATGCACAAAGGCATGACTCTCATGACTCTCATTGACCACTCACTTCCTCAGTGACCTCGGTTCCAGAAATGTTTTGAACAATTATTAAATAAAGAGTTATGAATCAAGCCAACCAGAGAGAGAAAAAAACAAACAAACCTTACATTCACATTTGATTCAAAGCAACAACTAATTTCAAAATCATACAAAACTGTGAAGTTCATTTACTCATTGGAAAAATAATTGAACTACGCATGCCATGAATGAAAATGAAATAAAATAATAATAAAAAAAGAGTAACACTTTAGTATAGAGACAAAGTCTCACTGTTAACTAGTTACTTATTAGCATGCCTATTATTAACATAATGACCTTTTATTAGTAATTATAAAACATTTATTCTGCATGAATATATTCTACATCCCTAATCCTACCCGATATCTAAACGTACTACCTAACTATTAATGAGTAGTAAATTAGGAGTTTATTAAGGCAAAAGTCGTAGTTAATGGGTTGTTAAGAGCGAAAATTGGACCTTAAAATAAAGTATGACCAAAAAAAAAAAAATATATATATATATATAAGACTATTGACTTATTTTATAGAAATGTTACATTAGAAATGTTTTTTTGGTTATATTTCAAAATCTTGAGACATATACAAATATATGTAACACTGTACAACAAAGTCTCATTTGTTAACATTTTTAACTAGTAAATATAAACTAACATTACTTCTACAGCATGTTAATCCAAGTTTAAGTTCATTTATAAATAAATATATATATATATATGTGTGTGTGTGTGTGTGTGTGACCCGTGCTGGCAAAATTTCTCTTCATTTTCACATCCTACATTAAAATACCTTCAAAATGATATATAACTTGAGTCAGCAGAGATGATTTTGAGAAAAATTTAGTTAACGTTTTCTGAAGATTCCAAAGCAATATCACCAAGCAATATTGCATATTTTCCTCCAATTCTTTTCTTAATAATAATTACTATATTATTAATCACAATATAGCTGTTTTTTTATTTTATCTCTGTTATTAAAAATAAGATACAAAGATGCAAATAAAATGTAGTTTAATCAAGAGCAGCGAATGATTCCGTCTTTTGTTTTAATGTTTGATTAACATCGAGACAGATCAATATTTTGACCTACTGTAATGCATGGATCTAATATAATGTTACACATCAGATTTTTCCCCAACCATTAACTAAACGTTCATGTAAGACATAACAGATTATGTGAATCTCGCCAAGACATATTTAGCAATAATGTACTTTACAGGGAGATTGTGCGCTCTCGGAGAGGCGATCGTTTTGTTTTCATCAGGTTTGAAAATCATATTTTACTGGTTCAGACTCATGTCATACAGAATTCGCTATGAATATTTATAAGGCTCGAATGCTGCACTTTTCAACGATATATCCTAAAACTTGTGCTGAGAAGCAGCAGCAGTCGTCCAGAAGTGAGCAGAAATAATGTTACACATCAGATTTTTCCCCAACCATTAACTAAACGTTCATGTAAGACATAACAGATTATGTGAATCTCGCCAAGACATATTTAGCAATAATGTACTTTACAGGGAGATTGTGCGCTCTCGGAGAGGCGATCGTTTTGTTTTCATCAGGTTTGAAAATCATATTTTACTGGTTCAGACTCATGTCATACAGAATTCGCTATGAATATTTATAAGGCTCGAATGCTGCACTTTTCAACGATATATCCTAAAACTTGTGCTGAGAAGCAGCAGCAGTCGTCCAGAAGTGAGCAGAAAAAAGGGTACTCCTCTCAGAAAACGTACAAATAAAGATCATTTTAGATGTTTAATTACTATTTGAAGCATTGGGATCACTAGAAGCGGGCTTAATAAACTCATTTTTGTGAAAACCTCAAATTCGACCAAAACTGACATTTTTCACTTCTTTTTTTGCCAGCACGGGATATATATATATATATATATATATATATGTATGTGTATGTATGTATGTGTATATATATATACTGTATATGTATGTATGTATGTGTGTGTGTATATATATATATATATATATATATATATGCATTGCTCATTGTTAGCTCATGTTAGCAAATAAATTAACTTATGTTAACAAATGGGATCTTATTGGAAAGTGTTACCCAAATATATAAGTTATCGAAAGGTGTAGGACATTAACGTGAATACATCATTTTCAATGATTTATAGGTGTGGGTGTCACTGCTGGGCTTTTTTGGTTCAGTTCCTGTTTTCCTGTTGACTTCTCTGATTGGTGGATTCCTTCTTCACCAGGAATTTGGAAATTAGGTGTTAATATATGCTTCTGTAGCAGCAAACCAATCTTAGAGCTCATGGTAGATCTCTCTTAAATTAGTTTATCTATGAACAAAATGAATGTGTCTACTTCTTACCAAACTCCTAGGCTCTAGTCCGGGGCAGTCTGGTTTACGTTATTATTTCATAAACTTATCAGATAAACATAGAAATGTCAGAGAACTGCGTGATGTGCACATCATCTGGACTTTGAGGAAACAAGAACTTTGTCAGCGCTGATGTCAACAGCAGTTACTGTTTAAACTTTAAGATCTGTCTGAGCTCAGACAGACACTTAAGTCTGAAGTAAGCTGAGCTGCTCAGACAGAGGCTTAAAGTTCAGCTAGCCAGCTGGTCTGCAGTCTCCCGCCCTGAGGCTCTGCCACCTGCTGATGTGTGTACCTGAACAGTAGGGCGGCGGCTCCACCGGCCGGCCATCATCCAGACACTGGCGCGTGGTGTTCCCCACCAGAGTCCGGCCCTGGCTGCAAGAGTAATGGACCACAGCTCTGTTGGTCCTGAGCCTCGGCCACCTGCTGATGTGTGTACCTGAACAGTAGGGCGGCGAGCTGCTCCACCGGCCATCATCCAGACACTGGCGCGTGGTGTTCCCCACCAGAGTCCGGCCCTGGCTGCAAGAGTAATGGACCACAGCTCTGTTGGTGAACTTCTGGCCTGACATGACAGCAAACGGCGGTGTGCCGGGATCACCGCAGGATATTGCTATGGGGGGCATTAGAAAGAGAACGGACCATCTCAGATAAGATACTTCAAAACTTCATATTTCCACAATCGATTATGACGGCCTGGTTACCCTGTTTGTCATTCAAAGTCTTTTTGGTATAGAATGCTGATAACCTATCTACACAGTATACACCAATCAGACGTTTTCCTAAGAGGCAATTACATAGGCTGTATGCTTGCATTCAAACAGCTAGATGGAGAACAGCAAACTAGAAAAAAAAAAAAAAACATTTTTAACTTCAAATACAATGTGTCAAGTTATAAATACACTTAAAAATACAATGCTCGCAGCATGAAATGCTGAAAAAAAAAAAATAATAAACAGAGATGCGAGACAATGGCAAAAGATGTCGGTCTGCATTTGTACATTGACCAACTATTTCAAAAACATTTTGACAGCGCAGTAATTGTCTTGTTTACAAAAGCCTTGTCTGTTACAAAAGTGGTCCTTTATGGCTGTAGTAGTGGAGCTTTTAAGGGGATGAATTTAGAAATGCAACTTCTAAGAGGTGACTTTTATTGCGCTGACAGTTCAACAGTTATAGTTACTTTTAGCAAGGTAAAGCACACTGTCAGAATGCTAAAGCCCTCTGAAAAGTTACATCTCTAAATTTATTCCCTTTAGTGCACAAGTGCTAAAAATATTAAAGCTAAAATAAATTAAAAAATCTAGGTAAACAGAAAAAGTAATCACTCAGAAGTTTGTCCTTTTTGTAAAAATATCTAAATAACTTGTGTAATATAAGTATGAACTAAGCTTATATTTCTTATTCAATTAGCAAAAGTATAAAAAAAAGGTCTCAACATCTTATATAATCCTTCTTCTCCAATGAAAGAGCTTGTTTTAAGAATGTCTGATATTACCGGAATCAAGAACCATAATTCTAATTTTGAAAATGTTTTTTTTTTAAGCATTCCATCACATATATACAACAGCAAAGCCGTTTTTGGCACTGTACGGATCTCTGGACGAGTGTGTATTGGACGAAACATGAGGCTATCACTCACGAAGGCACTTAGGAAGTGATCTGTCCCAGAAGCCATTTGACTGGCAGGTGAGGACGGAGGAGCCGAGCAGATAGAAGCCCCTCTTGCAGTGATACATCACGGTGTTTCTGTAGTTGAAGCTTTCGGGGTAGTGCTGTTGAGAGTGACGAATGGTGTTCTCCACAAAGCCCGGATCAGAGCAGTTTACCACTGCAAGATAAAAACAGCCAGATGCTTAATGTCTGACAGAGTGAGGAAAGACAGAAGAAATCAATGGAGGAGGCTGAACAGTAGGATCGCTGGTGCAGCCTCTGAAGCAATTTCAATCAACTCCGAACCGTAAACCGCACTTTCTTTTTGACGGCACGAATTATAAGCGGGTGAATTGTGCTCCTTCAGAACTTTCTTTGCCTTTTATCTGTGCACTTCCACAACAGTGAAGCATCTTTTGTTTTCCTGTGCATACCTAGAACATGTCATGCATGCATTCTGATCGAAAGCTGACATATCTGTTCATGCAGTGAGCATTATTCTACACATGTAGCTGATTCTTTCTACACTGTCTTGAAAAATTTTGACAGATGTGGTCATGTTACATTTTTCTGTACTCAAACCGGGTACATGCTGTCCTTGGCATGCTGTGTCGGCCATGCAGTTACAAATTCAGTTACTGCCCTTCGCAATTTAACAGAAAAAAAAAAAAAAGATAGAAGTTGAGGCCATGTCCAGAGGAAACAAACCAGACTGCCTTCCCTCGGTGGCAGCTGTCAATGTCTCGGCACTCAATTAAGCCCCCTGGGAAAGGAAAAGTGGGTGGACAAGCAGCTAAAAAGTTGATAATTGGCACCTGTTATAGGTGTGTTGTTTTTCTTTGTGAGACATCATGGTTTGATCTGAGCGTATCTTGAAAATAAATATCTTATCAGAGGGACACAGCTCAGAATAAGAATAAGACAGCATAATTGTCATATGGTTGACAGCTGAAAAACAATAACAATTACTTGTGTGAATTCTTTTTTTTTTTTACAAATATGACAATTCTACTTGTTATTTATTTGAGTAATGTCAATTCTACCTTTTAAATTATATATAACAATTCTACATTTATCATTATGTACATTCTTTTTATTTATTTTTTGCATTTCTGCAACTAAAGTAGTGCGTATAAACAGTTCTACCTTTTTCGTAATTGTATATGACAGTTTTACCTCTTAAACAACGGTATATTAGAATTATACCTTTTCATTTGTACATGACAATTCTACACATCTTTTGTGGATTTGTGCATGCCTACCTTTTTTACAATTGGATGTGGCTAGTTTGCAAATAATAATACAAATAATAATAAACTTACAATTATACCAATAACAAATGTCATTTTTCTACTAGTGCAATATATGCATGGTTTAGTCAAAGCTATTAAAATGGCCATAAAATAATACTAATAATAATAAAATAAAATAAAAAGGTCTAGTTAGTTTCTAAATACTGGCAAAAACACAAAGCTCACATCAACTCAACTTTGGATTTGTTTTATGGAACAATGCATCCATTCAGAGGAACGTCCGCCTTTTCCCTGCTGAGAGCTTCTTCCCTGGGCTCTGGCTGAGCCTGTGGGGAATTGTCCATCTCAGATGCATTGACCTGCCTCCATTTTACCGTCACGATTCAATTTCACCAGGCCACCATCAACAACTTCCTTTGCACATTAATTAATCATTAAAGTGACAAGATGTGCACAGTTACTCCTACTTAATGTCAGAAAGCATCCCACAATGTCACACGGGTTGCTGCAGACCCATTTGACTTTCAAATCAACACTTCAAGATGGGGAATGACACACCGAGAATTATTTGCACATTGCTTCTTGTCATTCACTGGCTGACTCAGACTGCTGAGCACAGATGCTGGTTTCGCTCTGTTAATGCTAAGCCCATGAGCTGTGGGTGTTAAACAGCCTCACTAAGGAGCTTCTCGCATAACAAGACGGTGTTCAAGGCTGCGTCTCCACTGAGATTCTCAACAAGGGACAGGTTGCCTGAAAGCATTTGATATACAGTAAAATCGTGTTTTTTTTTTAAAGTTTCATACCCTTGCACACAGGAAGAGGGTTGCTCCACTGTCCGTTCATGCGACACTGCGCTCTGGATGCACCGTGCAACACATAGCCTGTGTTGCAGGTGAAGTTGACCACGTCGTTGAGATTAAACTCACTGCCGTTTGTCCGACCGTTTGCAGGGTTTCCAGGATGGCCGCAGGTTATGGCTGTTAAGAAAGGGAGAATGGTCAATCACTTCTTTTTTTGAAGCTGCTGACAGGGCTTATGCATGTGTTAAAGTTACAATTTTTTTGTTAAAATCAAGGTTGTCAATTAAAGTAAAAGGTAAAGTAAATGTAAAATGGTTTATTGCCCATCGATTATTGCCTATGGATATTTATTACATCTTACTTTATCTACATACAGTATACTCACGTAAAGCAATATATAGCATGACTGTTGTTGTGATATAGTCTGATTGCTGATATTGTCGCAAAAACGTCAACTGTATTATCGCACCACTCTCTATGTAAAGTTGGATATATACTGTACTATATCCAGCCTTATTTAGATACATCCAGTACACTCACGTAAACCAATATATAAAACTTAGCTGATTTTTTACTAACCTTTTTACTATTCAACTGCTTGGTTGCTTGTATCATCGCAAAAGTACATTATATAATCTCCCAGATATTAAGATATAAACATTTTAAACATTAACATCATGATTTTCTGTAAAACTGCATTGAAATGATTTGTATTGTCAACAGAACTTTATCATCTATCTATCTATCTATCTATCTATCTATCTAGAACAATAGAAGCAATCAGACCAATAAGAGAGCAACAGTATACGAGTGCTGTGACAAGTCTCAGTTAATCTAGCACAGTACACATAGCAAGGTTTTTATTTTATTTTAAATAAATTAGAGCGAATAGAATAGAATAGAATAGGTAAGTGCTAGTATTAATTGGTCAGAAAAAGATGTGTCTTTAGATGCTTTTTTTTTTTGAAAATGGCTAAAGACTCAGCTGCTCGAATATATAAATAAAAGACACTTACGAACACACACAGGTGCTTGGCCTGACCACCTGTGGTCTTGTTGGCAGATACGAACCGATGTCCCTATGAGCCGAAAGCCCAGGTTGCACTGATAAACAACTGTGTCCCTATAACTAGATCCATCACCACTGATGTGGCCGTTAACAATCGGATCCGGAGAATCACAATGACCAGCTGAAAAAAGATTTAAAGTGGTCAGAATCAACAAACATCTCATTAAAATGGAATCCTGTTACTAAACACAAACAAATTCAAACTACGTGTTTTACAGAGCATGAAGTACGGACACATCAGCGCTATGTCCAGAGAGCACTCCGGGAGTCACTGCCTGACATTTTGATGAAATGTCCTCCGTGCTGTTTGGTCAAGCAGCAGGTGATGTGTCCTAGGGTCAGCGCTGATCGTCAGACAATGGCATACCTCAGTTGAGCTGCTCTCACTGCTTGCTCAAGTATTTCCCCTATTTCCAGGATTATTTAGCACTACAGACGTCATAAATTAACACTGGCAACACAAGACTATGTGCATTTAGTGTTAGGGCTGTGGATGTCTGATAGAAACGTTGTTCTGGGACTAACAAAGGATGTTTTTCCAGGAACATGTCCTACTTAGGGAAATCACATTGTTCTTAGTGCTGTGCAATAACTAGAACTATACAGGCATAATATAATAGAGTAGGAATACATCCAGTAAACAGATTTGCTTTGCTCTACACATGAATGGCTCAGTAATAATAACATCCAATCACAGAAGCCCTGCTGAAAGATACTACTTACCCAGACATTTGGTCTCATCTCCACTCCAGAGACCGTTAGCCTGACACTCCCTCACGTGCGAGCCCACTAAAGTGTACCCTGTGTTGCACATGAAGATAGCTGTGGCGCCATAGGTAGTCAGAGTGCCCATCTTCCTGCCATTAGGAGGGGACGGAAGCTCCCCACAGGAAATAACTGGAGGAAATAGCCATTGCAATATCTTGAATACACATGGCACTTTTAGCTGAAAAGGTCACATTGATGATGATGCATACAATATGCCATTCTTATTCACAGTAGCTACCAGGAAATGGAGGGGTGAAGTGGGCATGCCTAAAAGCAACACAGATGCGTTTATATATTGGTGGACATGTCAAGGGTAATAGAAGTACACTACCAGTTAAAAGTTTGTTGTTATTTACTCTTCACTCTCAGAAATAAAGGTACAAAAGCTGTCACTGGGGTGGTACCTTTTCAAAAGGTACACTTTTGTTCCTATTAGGTTCTAATATGTACACTTAAGTACTAATACGTATGTACCATTAAGGTAACAAACATGTACCTTTTGAAAAGGTACCGCCCCATTTTAGAACGATAATGAAGTATTACAACACAAAATAACACAAATGGAAATCAAACTGAACATTTAGTTCATTATCACACTTTAAATACATACATACATGCTATTCTAGTTTTATAAAGATAATCAGGTCACACTTTAATTTAAGGTCCAATTCTCACCATTAACTTACTATTAACTACGAAACTTGCTGCTTATTAATAGTTAGTTGTTAAGTTTAGGTATGGGGGAGGATTAAGGGATCTACAATATGGTCATGCAGAATAAGGCATGAATATGTGCTTTAGAGGTAGTAAACAGCCAATATATTAGTAATATGCATTATAGTTAATAGTGAGAATTGGCCTTTAAAATTACCACTAGATTCTTACATTTTCTGAAGGAAATGTGAGAGGTGACTGGCCCTGTAAAACGTCTCAGGTTACGCATGTAACCATGGTTCCTCGAGGAAACGAGACGCTGCGTCGGAGAACGCTTTGGGAATGCCCTTCAGCATGACCGGCTCTGAATCACGTGTGTAATCAGTCCAATGGATGGGCGAGACGTCACGGGCGGGGTGACGTAGCGATCAGGAAGCTTAAAAGCACGTGCGGTGAAACCGGCGTCAGCTTCCAGAAGTGAAGCAAGCGCTGGCAGAGATGCCGTAAGTATGGCCCTGCGATGCAGCATCTCGTTCTCTCAAGGAACCATTGTTACATGCGTAACCTGAGACATTCCTCTTCAGGAACTCGAGCTGCGTCGGAGAACGTTTTGGGAACGAGCATGCCCACGCCTCCAGACTTTCAAATCTCTGCCTAGTGTGGAAGCCTGCACAGCTAGGGCGAGAGAACAGAAGAGCCCGGAGTGGCTCGCATACCTAGGCCATAGAACCTGACAGGTTAGGGGCGTGGACCATCCCGCAGCGTTGCAGATGTCCTTCATAGAGACACCTGCCAAGAAGGCCTTGGAGGTATAGGGTTAAATCTCTGCCACAATTCTGCGTGCAAAAGATCATATTTTGAGCGCACAAAAGTGCATTTTGCACGCACGCGATCTGAGTTTTGTGGAGAAAATGTTCATTTTGCAAAGAAAAACGTTTTTTGAGCACACTAAAATCAATTTTGCATTTAAAATAAGTTTTTGGATGTGTGCAGACCTTCTCTTTTGCACGTGCAATGTTTCACTAGCTTGCTCCCTTGATGCCCGCCCTCAGTGCTCTCTAAATGCCAACGGCTGGCGTGCTCAACACAACCCAGCGTTACAATATGCCATAATTCTAGCCAATCAGAGACGAAGCTGCTAAATTCTGATTGGCTGCCTTGACAACCAATCACAACATTCCTTGCATTGCTGATGAC